TGTCTCTATTAAGTCACCTCTTAACCTTCTTCTCTCTAACGAAAACAGCCTCAAGTCCCTCAGCCTTTCCTCATAATTTACAACTTCCACTATTGACTTTTTTTTTTTAAACCTTGATTATATAAAACGTAAATGGATTATGATCAAAACTACTACAATGTGCTACGACTGATACCTCTTTCGTATTCATTTCTTGAAATATCAGAAATTGCAGCAGGATCTTGATCAGCTGGGGAATTGGGCCAATAAATGGCAAATGGAGTTTAATATGAGTAAGTGTGAGATGTTGCATTTTGGAAAGTCAAAACAAGGTAGGAGCTTCTCGCAGGGCTATAGAGTTAACTTACATAGATTTCTAAATGGCGAAGTTGCCAGACCCACCTTAATATATGGCAGCAGAAGCCAGCCCTCACACTTTGGACCTTTATCCATGATGCAGTAAGCTTCTAAATGCAGGATGTTTGGGTGGTTGAACATCCGATGCATTTCCACCTCATTAAGCGCATTTTTGCGATCTTCTTTGTCATGGCAGATGATGCGCTTCAGGGCGTAGAACTTGCCATTCTGAACACTCTCCACCAGATCCACATAGCTGAATCCCCTGAAACAAAAAAGGGAGAATGGAGTGTGAACGGAGAAGGGAGACACGGTCTACACATAACTCACAGTAACAACCACCACATGTGCTGAAGAGCAGGCAGCTGGACTGCTGTGCCAAACCCAGAGAGATAACCAAGGAACATCCCAGGATTAGCATATTGCATACAACTTTCATCCTCACATTCAAATCACTCAAAGGCAACAAAAGCACTTCACAGGAGTGTAATCAGATAAAATCTGAAAAAAAAAAAGTCTTCTACAGAGAAGATAGATGTGATGAGAAGCTCTGTAACCAGCTCCAGTCGCACAGCCCTGACATTGCTATACACCTCCAATTCTGACTTTTTATGCATTGGAATGACCAATGGTTCATCAATAGCACATGAAACTTTAGCAGCCGAATCCCCACTATCAACATACTGGGTGTTTCCAAATACAGTAGCTACAAGATCAGGTCAAAGACTGGGAATCCTGCAAGGAGTAACTCACCTTCTGACTTCTCAAAGCCTGTCCACCATCTACAAGGCACAACTCAGGAGTATAATGGAATACTCCCCATTTGCCTTAATGGGTGCCGCTCCAACAACACTCAAGAAGCTTGACACCAAAGGCAACGCAGCCCACTTGATTGGCACTACATCCACAAACATCCGCTCCTCCACCACTGACACTCAGTAGCAGCAATGTGTATCATCTACAAGCTGCACTGCAGAAATTCACCAGGCCTCCTGAGACAGCACTCGAAGGACAAGGCTAAAAGACACATGGGAACAACACCTCCTGCAAGCTCCCCTCTGAGCCACTCACCATCCTGATTTTTCTTTTATTCATTCACAGGATGTGGGCATCACTGGCTAGGCCAACATTTATTTCCCATCCCTAATTGCCCAGAAAGCCATTATGAGTCAATCACATTGCTGTCGGTCTGGAGTTACATGTAAGCCAGTCCGTCAGTTTTCTTCCCTAAAAGGGTATTAGTGAACCAGATGGATTTTTCTTGGCAATTAACCACTGTCAATCACTGGATTCAATCTCAGAACTATTTCCCTTTAACTGAATTTAAATTTCACCATCTGCACTGTAGATCTCTGACTCTGTAATAAGCAAGCATGGGCTGACAAAGTGGCAAGTAACATTCACGTCACACAAATATCAGATGATAACCATCTGCAACAAAAAGAGAATCTAACCTTTGTCTCTTGACGTTCAACGCCATTACAATCACTGAATTCAGGGGGATACCATTGTCAAGAAACTCAACTGAACTAGCTGTATAAACACCTACAAGAGCAGGTCAGAGACTGGGAATGCTGCAGGAAGTAACACACCTCCCGACTCCCCAAAGCCTGTCTATCATTTAGAAGACTCAAGTCAGGAGTGTGATGGAGTACTCCCACTTGCCTGAATGAGTGCAGCTCCAACACTCAAGAAGCTTGACACTGTCCAGGACAAAAGCAGCCGACTTGATTGGCACCACATCCACAAGCATCCACTCCCTCCATCACCAATGCTCAGTAGCAGTAGTGTGTACTATCTAACAAGATGCACTGCAGAAATTCACAAAAGATCCTTAGACAGCACCTTCCAAACCCACGACCACTTCCATCTAGAAGGATAAGGGCAGCAGAGACATGTGAACACCAACTCCGGCAAACTCCCCTCCAAGCCACTTACCACCCTGACTTGGAAACATCACTGTTCCTTCACTATCATTGGGTCAAAATCCTGGAAATTCCCTCACCCCACCTAACCAAGGGCATTTGGAGTCTACCTACAGTTAGATGGACTGCAGTGGTTCATGAAGGTGGTACCTTTACAAAGGCTACTAGGGATGGGCAATAAATGTTACCCAGTCAGCTACATCCATGGCCATGAGTGAATAAAAACAAAAATCGCTGTGCCCCAAGGTCTAGAAATTTCTTCCTGAACTTCTCCATTCTCAGTTAAGGTGCACCTTAAACCCTCTCTCTTTGACTAAGCCTTTGCTCACCTGATGCGCTAAAGCCTTGTGCCACATTTTGTTTTGATAACCATTTCTGCTTTTGGATGTTACGCCTCATTAAGAAGTGTTATTTAAATGCAAACTGCTTTCACCAAGAACTTAGGTGTCACTCTTCATTACCAGCAGATTAGCACATCGAGAGTCTAACTCATTTGTGCAATTACACTATATGATGTATTTCATGCAAACAGTTCTGCAAGTCTTGAAAATTCTTTAAATGTTTGTGCTGAAGATCTGAAGGTGGGGTATAATGTAGCTGAAACTGATCCTGATCCAATACTGTCCAGCAGGCATCACAGGATATATGAGCAGGAACTGAAACCACGTCATACGTAACATCCTGAATGCTTGTCTGGGTGATTCATTGCTGAGCTAGGATTCAGCCTTTAGACTAACTGGTCTGCACGGCTGAAATATTGTTACGCTTCCAATAACATTGGAGATGCAGAGGAGAGGCACAATTTGAAAACCCCTTTACGAGGACATACACAGGAACTAAGAGCAGGAGTAGCTGATGTCAGCTCCATTTTCCCACACACTCTCCATAGTCTTTAACCCATTACTAATTAAAGATTTGTCAATGTTCTTAAATATATTAAGTGTCCTGACAATCACTGCTCTTTGGAGAAGTAAATTCCATAGATGCACAACTCTGACAGAAGCAATTCCTTCTCATTACTGTTTAAATTTGACACCCTTTAAGGTAATTTTGATTTATAATTAGCAAAATCATGCTAAATTTTCACAAAGCACTCATGAGACCTCAACTTGAGTGCTGTGTACAATTCTGAGAACTGTACCATAGGATGAGTGCCAAGGCCTTGGAAGGGTCTCATCAGAATATAGAGATAGATCTAATCAATCAGTGCATTGAAAATTGTGAGGGGATTTCATATAGCAAGTAGAAACAAAATGTTTATTCTCATCATAGAGATAAAATAAATAACTGGCACAAGAGTTAGAAGGGAATGGGGAGAAATCTCTTCATGTAGGAGGTTGTTAAGATCTGGGTCACCACCTGGAAATGTGATTGAATCAGACCTCACTGGAACTTCGAGAAGCCAAATTAGACATGTAATTAACAGGGACTCATTCGTGTGCTTATGGGCAAGAAAACTGCCAGTGCAACTAAACTAAAGGCTGCATGGTCTTTATAAACTCCTCCAGTGGTGAAAGAGGCAATTCACTGATTCTAAACATTTACAAAGAATAAGCCATAATCCATACAAAATGAAATAAGACATAAAAGTGGGTTTAGTTACATACCCTTCGTCCAACTTCTGGATAAAGAAGTAGCGCTTATTATCAATAGTGATCGTCCCGCGAGAGCAGATGCAAATGGTTTGGCCCATGATCCAAGGGACATCGTTTAGATTGCTACAAAAAAAAAGGTAAGAAGAATTGTTGTGAAATCCAAAAATTACAGGTTACATTTCCACCTGAATAATCTTAAACTAACTCGTTGTAGCCGAGGATTCTGAATCATCTCAGTGAGCTGAGAGTGTTGCAGGCAAACTCCTGACTGGGAATTAGATTAAGGAGTTTGCATAGGGGGTAATCTAGGTAAAGGGGAAATCTAGGTAAAGGGGATGATCTTCCTGGATAGGTCAAGTAAAGGTGTAACACAAGAAAACGAGGAGGATGTTTCACCTCTCAAGCCTGTTCCATTGTTCAACTTGACCAGGCACGTCAATTCCATTTTCTGGTCAATGTTGCGCATCTCTCGATACCCTTCTCCAGCACAAATCTATCTCCAAATAAAAGCAAAGTACTGCAGATGCTGGAGATATGAAATATAAACAAAGTGCTGGAGAAACTCAGCAGGTCTTCCACATCTGGGGAGAGAGAGAGAGACGGGGGAGAGAGAGCTATAGCGAGAGAAACACACACAACGTTGAGCGCAACATGACCTTTTCAGAACACGAATAATTATACTGGACTCACAACATTAACTGTTTTTCTCTCTCTCCCCACAGATGCTTCCAGACCTACTGAGGTTTTCCAGCACTTTGTTTTCATATTGAAATTACATCCTTTTCTGTTTTGAAAATTTCAATTGATCAGAGCTGTTTTTGTGCTGAAAGTGCAGATCCCTTCAAACCTCTTTTACTTTTTCCATGACCTTCTAAATACAAGGAAATTTGAAGTAAAATTATCCAACCATCCTCCGAACTCAGCCCTGACTTCAGTATCATTAGTCAGGTGCTTTCAAGATCCTGGTTTTCACTGACTGTAACAGGGCTGAAATTAAGCTGCTATAGATTTACAAACACCTCAAGTTGCTGATAAGAAAAGGTTTTGGTGCTTTATTTTAGGACTTATCCACCAGACACTAAAAACACCCTTTTGCAAAGCCTCGGGCTCTCATAAAAAAGACACTCAAGTAACAAGTCAGATGAAATTACCCAAGACCATCATTTTAAAATCTATTTTAAAAGGGGATTTTAGGTTCCAGATGGTAACCTCAAACTGAAGCTTTAAAACATTCTGGCATGAAATTAAACATGAGCATAAACAATATCTTATCTAGTGGCATGTTTATGACTTCAACTGCGCCAGTTGTGGTGTAGCAGACAATTCCCCAGAGTGGTTCATGTGTGGCACGAACTTCCAGAGGATGTGGGTACAGTTACAACATTTAAGACATTTAGATAAGTACATGAATAAGAAACATTTGGAGGGATATGGGCCAAGCGCAAGCAGGTGGGACTAGCTTAGTTTCGGATTATGGTCGGCATGGACTGGTTAGAACGAAGGGTCAGTTTCCGCGCTGTATGACTCTATGACTCTAGAGTACGACTATGACCGAAGACCCTCGAACCTTGAGGTGGACAAATCAGTTTTACAGCTGCTTTGGAAGACAAACTAGGGATGCATCTTATGTGCTCTGCAGAAAGCTATGCAGGTCTCCAAAAAGGATTCCCAGCCACATCTGAAACAGTCACTTACAATAATGAAGGGAAGCCAACAACACTATTTTTCAAATACTTGAGATTTTAGTGGTTACGTTTAAAGTGGACAGAAAGACAGAAAAAGTAGGAACTGCAGATGCTGGAGAATCTGAGATAACAAGGTGTAGAGCTGGATGAACACAGCAGGCCAAGCAGCATCAGAGGAGCAGGAAGGCTGACGTATCGGGCCTAGAAACAAAGACCTTTCTGAAGAAGGGTCTAGGCCCAAGACGTCAGCCTTCCTGCTCCTCTGATGCTGCTTGGCCTGCTGCGTTCATCCAGCTTATAGAAGATAGAACATAGAACATTACAGCGCAGTACAGGCCCTTCGGCCCTCGATGTTGCGCCGACCTGTGAAACTAATCTGAAGCCCATCTAACCTAAACTATTCCATTATCATCCATATGTTTATCCAATGACCATTTAAATGCCCTTAAAGTGGGCGAGTCTACTACTTTTGCAGGCAGGAAAGCTTTACACCTTGTTATCTCAGAAAGACAGAAAATGCTGGAGAAACTCAGCAGGGCTGGCATCTGTGCAGAAAGAAAGAGTTGAAGTTTTGATTGCAATATAGAATTTTCAGAACTTCAGAGGAGTCATACCGGACTTGAAACGTAAACAGAGTCCTCTTTCCACAGATGCTGCCTGTCCTAGATTCTCTAGCATTTTGTTTTAAACTTTCCTGTATTTTGCTTTTATTTAAAAAAAAACAAAAATTGACCTGTTGTAAATGCCAGAATAATGAAATTGCCTTCCAGACAGCATTGTTGGCGATGCTACACCACATGAACTGTGGTGGTTCAAGGCAGCAACTCACCACCCACCTCAAGGGCAATTAGACATGGAAGATGAACACTGGCCTACCCACCAACACCCGTGTTCTGGCAAAGAATTCTAAAACTAAAAACAAAAAGAACTGTTTTATCATTCGGTGGCTGTGTAGCTGAGTTGACTGGGCAGCTGGTTTGTGATACGTTGTGATGCCAACAACCTGAGTTCAATTCGCACAACGGCCAAGGTTACTATAAATAAACTCTCCCTCTCAACCTCTCCCATCACCTGAGGGGTAGTGACCTTCTGGTTAAACCACCAGTCATCTCGCTCTCTAATGGGTGAGCAGCTCCACAGTCTGGTTAAAACTATGGTGACTTTAATTTTTGAAAACAAACACCAAAAAGTGACACTTAAAATGAACTTAAATGCCACTGACAGCAGTTGAAACAATTAATCTGATAGGAAACAATATAATCAGCATAACTAATAATCCCAAAAAGACACTGATGCATCACAAAGATTACATGACTATTAACATAGTTTTACTAATCAGGATCAGCTAGAAGTGGAAGTTAACTTCCAACTGTTCCACTTTAATTCCAACTTGAAAGCAGAGTGCCTGCTCCTCCTTGCAATAGCATTTCCATTCAGGTAACTAGAGTGGGATATGATTAAAGTTTAATTTGTGTCCTAGTTTTGTGCAGTGTCCTGAACGACAAACAGTTCTGTGATGTATACTACATAACACAGGGTGTCTGTTACAATCGAATCAGAGATAGTAGGAACTGCAGATGCTGGAGAATCCGAGACAACAAGGTGCAAGGCTGGATGAACACAGCAGGCCAAGCAGCATCATAGGAGCAGAGAGGCCGACGTTTCGGGCCTAGACCCTTCATCAGAAAAGGGGAAGGGGGTTTTGAAATAAACCTAGAAACCGATATTCATTTCAAGCCCACCGACTCCCACAGCTACCTAGAATACTCCTCCTCCCACCCACCTTCCTGCAAAAATGCTATCCCCTATTCCCAATTCCTTCGCCTCCGCCGCATCTGCTCCCAGGATGAGGCATTCCACTCCCGTACATCTCAGTTGTCCTCGTTTTTCAAGGACCGTAACTTCCCCTCCTCAGTGGTCGAGAACGCCCTCAACCGTGTCTCCCACATCTCCCGCACCTCATCCCTCACACCCCGTCCACGCAATAAAAACCAAAAAAGAATCCCCCTCGTCCTCACGTACCACCCCACCAACCTCCGGATCCAACGCATCATCCTCCGACACTTCCGCCATCTGCAATCCGACCCCACCACCAAAGACATCTTTCCCTCCCCACCTTTATCTGCTTTCCGGAGGGACAACTCTCTCCGTGACTCCCTCGTCCGCTCCACACTCCCCTCCAGCTCCACCACACCCGGCACTTTTCCCTGCAACCGCAGGAAGTGCTACACCTGCCCCCATACCTCCTCCCTCACCCCCATCCCAGGCCCCAAGAAGACTTTCCACATCAAGCAGATGTTCACCTGCACATCTGCCAATGTGGTATACTGCATCCGCTGTACCCGGTGTGGCTTCCTCTACATCGGGGAAACCAAGCGGAGACTCGGGGACCGCTTTGCAGAACACCTACGCTCGGTTCGCAACAAACAACTGCACCTCCCAGTCGCGAACCATTTCAACTCCCCCTCCCATTCCTCAGACGACATGTCCATCCTGGGCCTCCTGCAGTGCCACAACGATGCCACCCGAAGGTTTCAGGAACAGCAACTCATATTCCGCTTGGGAACCCTGCAGCCCAATGGTATCAATGTGGATTTCACAAGTTTCAAAATCTCCCCTCCCCCCACCGCATCCCAAAACCAGTCCAGCTCGTCCCTGCCTCCCTAACCTGTTCTTCCTCCCACCTCAAGCCGCACCTCCATCTCCTACCGACCAACCTCATCCCGCCCCCTTGACCTGTCCGTCCTCCCTGGACTGACCTATCCCCTTCCTAACTCCCTACCTACACTCACCTTCCCTGGCCCCATCCCCGCCTCTTCGACCTGTTTGTTTCTTCTCCACCTATCCTCTCCTCCATCCCTCTTCTATCCGCCTCCCACTCTCTCCCTATTTATTTCAAAACCCCCTTCCCCTCCCCCTTTTCTGATGAAGGGTCTAGGCCCGAAACGTCGGCCTCTCTGCTCCTATGATGCTGCTTGGCCTGCTGTGTTCATCCAGCCTTGCACCTTGTTGTGTCTGTTACAATGCAGTTTTGTAAACTTGCCTCCGAGGAAATATCTTTTCAGAGCTTCCTGTGGTGAGATTGTTGATGAATTAAACAAAGCTCTTATCTGAATAGAAACCATAAGATCTGCAGATGCTGTAAATCAGAAACAAAAATAGAGACTGCTGGAAAAGCTCAGCAAGTCTGGCAGCATCTCTGAAGAGAAATCAGAGTTAATGTTTTGGGTCCGGTGACTTTCCTCAGAATTGATGGTAGCTAGGAAAATGAAGAAGGGTCTAGGCCTGAAACGTCAGCCTTCCTGCTCCTCTGATGCTGCTTGGCCTGCTGTGTTCATCCAGCTCTACACCTTGTTATCTCGCAGCTAGGATGGGGTGGGGGGGTGTAAATGATAGGTGGGGATACAGCCCAAAGAGAGAGAAGAACATTCGGACAAAGGAGTGGATAACAATCTGGCTGGAAGGGTGAAAAGCTGTTAATGGGGACTGTTATTGGCTAACAATGGATAGCGTGTAATGGCAGGCTATGTGATAACAAGGCCTGGCATATGGGATTAGAGGCTAGGACATGGGAGAGTTCAGGCCGATATTGAGTCCAGAGGGCTGCAAGGTCCCCAAGCAGAAAACAAGGCGTTATTCCTCCAGCTTGCACTGAGCTTCAATGGTAACACTACAGCAAGCCTGAGACAGAGATGTTGGCCAGGGGACAGGAGGTGTGTTAAAGTGATAAGCAACTGGAAGAGTGGTCTTTTTTGTGGGCAGAAGGCAGATGTTCTGTGAAGCGGTCACCCAGCTTACGCTTTGTTTCCCAAATGTAGAGGAGAGCACATTGTGAGCAGTGAATGCAGTGACTAGACTGTGGGATGTGCAGGTAAAGTGCTGTTTCACCTGGAAGGTATGTTTGTGCCCTTGAATACAGAGGAAGGAGGTGGTAACTGGGCAGGCGTTACATCTTCGATGGTTGCAGGGGAAGGCGCTGTAGGGCTGACGGGGGCAGGGTGGTTGTTGAGAGTGAATGAAGAGTGTACTAGGGTGTCCCAGAGGGAAATGTCCATGCAGTCCCATGGCAATCAGGTCATCGTATCAACTACAGTCACATCTGGTGATCTTCCCTACCCCACTGTCTCCAAGCTGTTAGCCCCCCATCTCTGCACAGATTGCTTCTACCTCCTTCCCAAAATTCACAAATAGGACTGCCCAGGCAGACCCATTGTTTCAGCCTGCTCATCTCTTCCTATCTTGACCTGGTCTTTTCTCCCCTGGTCCAGTCCCTGCCCATGTACATCCACGATTCCTCTGATGCTTTACACAAGTTTCGGTATTTCCAGTTTGCAGGCTCCAGCTGCCTCCTCTTTACCATGGACGTGCAATTCCTTTACACATCCGTCCCTGACCAGGAAGGTCTCAGGGCTCTCCGCTTCTTCCTGGAGCAAAGGCCTGAACTGTCCCCATCCACCACTACAACCCTTTTATGCTTGGCCAAGCTCATCCTCACCCTCAACAACTTCACTTTTGACACGTTTCATTTTCTTCAGGTCAGAGGGGTGACCACATGGGCCCCAGTTATGCCTGTCTCTTCGTGGGGTACATGAACATTCCTTGTTCTACTCCTATTCCAGTCCCCACCCACAGCTCTTTCTCCAATATGTCAATGATATCATCAGTACTGGTTCCCTCTCTCATCCGGATTTGAGAAAGTTCATCGATTTTGCTTCTAATTTCCAACCCGCCCTCACTTTGACCTGGTCGCTCGCCGATTCCCCCCTTCCCTTCCTCAACATCTCTGTTTCTATTTCTGGGGACAGACTGGCCACTAACATCCACTATAAACCTACTGAATCCCTGCATTCCATTTCCTGTAAAGTCTTCATTCCATTCTCCCAGTTCCTCCGTCTCCATCGCATATGTTCCAGTGAGGCCAGCTTCGACAAGGGATCCTCCGAAATGTCCACCTTCTTCCTCAACCGAAGGACTCCCCAGCACCGTTACTGACAGGGCCCTCAACTGGGTTTGACTCATCTCCCGCATTTCTGCCCTCAACCCCTCTCCTCCCTCTCGCAACAGCGATAGGGTTTCCCTTGTCCTTACCTAGCATCCCACCAGCATCCACGTCCAGAAGATCATCAGACGCCATTTCTGCCATCTCTAGCGAGGTGTCACCACCAGACACACATTCCCCTCCCCTCCCTTGTCCACCTTCCACAGGGACCGTTCCCTCCGGGACACCCTGGTCCACTCTTCCTTTACCCCCAACACCCACCTCTGCAACCACTGAAGATGTAACACCTGCCCATTTACCTCCTCCCTCCCCAATATCCAAGGGCCCAAACAATTCCTTCCAGGTGAAGCAGCACTCTACCTGCACTTCACGCAATCTTGTCTGTTACATTTGTTGCTCTCAATGCTGTCTCCTCTACACTGGGGGAACAAAGCATAGACTGGGTGACCACTTCACAGAACATTCTATATTCTTCTTGCAAAAAAGACCCTGAGCTTCCAGTTGCCTGCCATTTAACACACTACTCTGCTCCCTGGCCAACATCTGTCTCAGGCTTGCTGCAGTGTTCCATTGAAGCTCAACACAAGCTGGAGAACAACCACCTGGGGACCTTGCAGCCGCCCAGACTCAATAGTGAGTTCAATAATTTTAGAGCCTGAACTCTCCCACCTCCTAGCCTCTAACCCCACGGACCAGGCCTTGTTGTCACATAACCTGCCATTACACACTACCCATTGTTAGCCACTAACAGTCCCCATTAACATCTATTCACCCTCCCAGCCAGATTGTTATCCACTCCTTTGTCTGTCCAGCTGCTCTTCTCTCTCTTTGGGCTCTATCCTCACCTATCATTTATTCCTTAGCGCTCCTCCCACCCTACCTTCTGCATATAAACCAACATTTTCCTAGCTACCATTAGCTCTGAGAAAGGGTCACCAGACCCGAAACATTAACTCTGATTTCTCTTCAGAGATGCTCCCAGACCTGCTGAGCTTTACCAGCAATCTCTATTAAAAGCTCTTACCTATTTGTTTTAAAGGAATTTCAAATTTTAAATTTTCTTGATCACATTATTTAACACAAATGTGGATTCAGAGCAACCTCCTTTTATTAATAAGCAATCTTTACTACACTAATAATGAACTAAATAAATTGCATTTATACAGCACCTTTCATAAGCCAAGATGTCTTAAAGTGTGATACAGCCAATGGAATACTTTTGAAGTGTACAAACAGTTGTGACATTGAAATATGTGCACAGCAAGCTCAATGAACAGTGTCACAATTAGGAGATAAACAGTTTCAAATGAAGTTGATGGAGGGACAAATAGTGGCTCAAGCCACAGGGAGAACTCACTGCTCTTCAAAACAGTGTCATTTGACCTTCTGCATCCACTCAAGGAGGAGACTGGAGGCCATTGTTAATATCTCATCCCAACACAGTACTCAAGCAAAGAGAAAAGAGAGAATGTGGATATTTACAAACATCTTTGAAAACACAGTCAACATTGGAGAAAGTGGACATTCGACAAGTTATCCCCATAACTGGCAATACATTTTGTATTCTGTAAACCTCTGAGAAGCAATGAAGTACAAAATAAATGACATTACTAAAAGCCCAGCAGTCCTAGCACACATATAATCACAGTTCTAGAATATAAAATTATACAAATTCATGGCAAAGAATGGGATTGTTCATTGTATCCCTGAGAACTGAAAGAACCATCCACCTTAACCCCACATTCCAGCACTGGGTCCAAACCCCTGCAAAAGGCCCAAAACCCTTGCAATTTCAGACAGTGAGTTCCAGTTCCCCAGTATCCAAATTCCCCATCTATTCCTACCAATTACTTCAAAACTCTGCAAAGGAAATTGATCTTTCCTATCCACCGACTCCTCATAATTTAGTCACATCAATTAAATCTCCCTTCAGCCTTGTCCATTGAAGGGAAAAACAAATTCAGTCCTCATAAATAAACTTTTTCAATCCAGGCGACATTCTCAAATATCTTTGGCACTCCTTTTACCAGGACCACATCCTTCCTGTAATGCAGTGACCAGAGCTATAAGCAGTACTCTAGTTGTGGCCTAACAATCTATGGCAGCTTTAATATAGAAAAATGTCATTTACACCACTGTAAGTAGAGAGATAAACTGAGTACTGTGGTAAATAAATTCCAACCAGTGGATCTATATCAAAGAGCACAGCACTTCAACTGTTTGCAAATTCACCCATATTTTGAAATCTCTGAACATAGGGGCCAACATTAGATACTGTGCTTTGATTATACAAAAATTTTCATGATCAACTAATTTAAGATTATTTAGTTGGACTCACAGTATGGCTCACTTGTGTTTCCTACAAAGTGCATATATACATATACAGGGGACCCTGTCCTCTGCAGAAAGGGTGGGCATGTCCAGACTCTGCACCTGTTACAATGAAAGAAAGGCACAGGGAATAAACATTGCCTGATTTATTTCTCCATGGCAACACTTTGACCAGTCAGTCGACGTCCAACTAGTCAATATCATTTACTGTTGCAGTATAAATTGTTATTCCCTGGGAAATTTGATATCCTTGTGATTCTGCCCTGAGGAGTGCAAGACATAAAAAAAGGAACCTCGACAGCTTGTCATTCTATACCAGGGGGGAAAATAAAGCACGCTGCACCACAGGTAGGAGCAGGTTAACCAGCCTTCCAACCGATCTGACCTTTGGAGAGACAGCGAGAGAGAGAACAGGAGGAGGCCATTCGGCCCCTCATGCCTGCTCCACTCTTCAATAGGATCATGGCAGATCCTATTATTTACCTTTGTTATCCTAAGGGTTTAAGGCAATTAAAAAAAAACAACTTTTAAAGGAGGTGGGGGGAGGGTGATTGAGGAAGCTCACAACAAATAATTGAGCATGCGCAATCACTGCGGAGCATGCGCATAACTATGCTCTTGAAATCACGCATGCCTGGATCCGATGGTGCCCATGCGCCATACCCCAAAGCTTCATGGGTATTGTAGTTCCCTCCCCCGCCCGACCTATTTCTCAAGAAGGGTCTAGGCCCGAAACGTCAGCCTTCCTGCTCCTCTGATGCTGCTTGGTTTGCTGTGTTCATCCAGCTCTACACCTTGTTATCACTATTAATTCTCAACCTGACGACGCATCTCCAACCCCTCATTTAGTAAGACGCGGTTCGCTTTCCCTTTTTTATTAAACACACACAAAGCAGTTACTGTCTGCCCTACCGCTGTTACCGATGATTTTCTTCACCGTCGACCACTTCACGAAGGAGACCGCACCATAAAAGCTCCCCACTGCTGCCACCGGCGGCTCAGAAAGGCACCGCCGCGGCTCGCGGCCGTCAGGTCTCGCGAGAAGAGCCGCGAGGCCTCCCTGACCCCGCCCCATCCGCCTGGAATCTCGCGAGAATTGGAACCCCCGGGAGATTCCCCCGCCACGTGCTGGTTGCAGGGTTTAGGACCAAGACTCAAGACTGTAACCCAATAGAAATGGCAGTGCTTTCATTGTCAGCTTATTCTTGCTTTTAAAGTCACTCCTCCACCAGATAAAATTGCATGTAATTCACAGAATTCCCTACAGCGTGAAAGGAGTTCATTCCGTCCGCACCAACCCTCCAAAGGGAATTCCACCCAGACCCTGTACCTCCCAAGGCTAACCCACCTAACTTGCACATCTTTGTACCATGGGAAGAAACACAGGGAGAACATGCAACCTCCACACGGAGTCACATGAAGCTGGAATCCAATCCAGGTCCCTGCCGCTGTGAGGCCAGTAGTGCTAACCACTGAGCCACCGTGCCGCCCCAATTGCCTGTTTCCTCCCTCCCTTTTGCAATTCATTGCTAACGGAATAGAGTATAAATGTGGGGAAGTGTTGCCGCAAGTGCGCAAGGAATTAGTGAGGCTGCATCTGGAATATGGTGTACAATTGTGGACACGTAGTTGGAGGCAGTTCAGAGGAGAATGGTAGAAACGTGCAGCACAGAGAAGCTCTTTGGCCTGTCAAGCCTGTATCACAAAAGTTACACTAAAACATCTCTGAAGAAGGGTCCCGACCCGAAATGTCAACTTTTCTGCTCCTCTGATGCTGCCTGGCCTGATGTGTTCCTCCATCTTCACACTATTATGTCTAAAACTACACTCGTCCCACTTTCCACCATGAGGCCCATAGGCTCGAATGTTCTGACTTTTCATGTGCTCATCCAAGTCCTTTTCAAGGTTGTAAGGTTACACACCTCAAATACCCTCCCAGGCAGTGCATTCCAGATCTGCACCACCCTCTGGCGAAATCCTTTTCTTCAAATCCCCTCTTCACCTCTAAGTTTTTCACCTTAAAATTATGCCCCCCCTCCAACATTGACAATTTGACTGTGCAGTAGATTGATTCTAGAGGTGAGGGTTTTGTCTTATGAACAGACAGAAGTGTGCAGATTAAGCCTGTCCTGTCTCTGAGTTTAGAAACACTAGTGAAGATTCTGTTTTTTTGTGGGCTGTGGGCGCTGCTGGCTGGCCAGCATTTCTTACCCGTCCCTAGTTGCCCCTTGAGAAGGTGGTGGTGAGCTGCCGCCTCGAACTGCTGTAGTCCACCTGTCCTGCAATACCATTAGGGAGGGAATTCCAGGATTTTGACCCAGTGACAGTGAAGGAACGGCGATATATTTCCAAGTCAGGGTGGTGAGTGACTTGGATGGGATCTTGCAGGGGGTGGAGTTCCCATGTATCTGCTGGCCTTGTCCTTCTAGATGGAAGTATAGATCTAATTGGAGGTCTATAAGATGCTAAAAGGGGATTGACAAATTGGATGTAGAGAGGATGTTTCCTGGGCAATCTAAAATGAGAGGTTAGTGTTTTAGGATAAGGGTGGCAGATTTAAAACAGATGAGGAGGAATTACTTCTCTCAAAGAGTCATGAATCTGTGGAATTCACTACCCTTTATCACCCTCGGAACCTCCAGCCTCAGACCTTGCAACCTCAGAAACACCAGCCCCGGAACTCATGGCCTCCGACCTAGCTGCCTCAGAACTCTCAGCCTCGGAACTCCTGGCCTCAGCACAGGCCGATGATGCGTCCTGTCAGCCCGGCATGGCAAACCGCCAGCTCAGCGTGGCGTCCTCATGGCGCAGTGTGGCAATCTCCCAGTGGCCAAGGGGTGTGGTTATGGGATGTTACTATATTGGAACAGTTAATTAGTAGTAGGTACTGTATCTATTATTCAGTTAAGTTTTCCAATAAAGTTATTCCAAATTCCTCTTTCTTTGATTGTATTTTAACTGCAGTGTTTAAGTATATTGTATTTTGCCTAATGTAGAGTCGCATCACATCTGGGACAGAGACTTAACATTTGCCTTTAAAACAGGAAAATGATAAGTCTAGGCTACCTTCTTAAGATATTTTGAGGGGGATCTCGTCTGGTTCATAACACCATGAAACCATTGTCAATTGTCAGGAAAAAAACCCATCTGCTTCACTAATGCCCTTTAGGGAAGGAATCTGCCATCATTGCCTGGTCTGGTTTATATGTGACTCCAGACCCACAGCAATGTGGCTGACTCCAAACTGCCCTCTGGAGCATTATGGGTTGGGAATATATGTTCACTTGGACAGTGACACCCCTTTACCTTGAATGAGTAAAGATCAAATTAATAGGATGTTGGCAAGGAGATTTGAGTACAGGATTAAAGATGTCTTTTTGTAGTCATATCGTGTCTTGGTGAGACCTCGCCTGGAATATTGTGTTGTAACGTGGAGACAGTCAAACCAAACCAGCCTTTCTACCCCTGTCTTTGCGACACAGTGAAATCCAATAATTACTCCAATGGTCGGGGGATCTAATTGAAACTGACAGAATACTGAATGGCCTGGACAGAGTGGATATTGGGAAGATGCTTCCACTTTGTAGGAGAGTCTAGGACCCGAGGGCACAGCCTTAGAGTAAAGGGAAGACCTCTTAGAACGGAGATAAGGAGAAACTTCTTCAGCCAGAGAGTGGTGAATCTATGGAATTCACTGCCACAGAAGGCTGTGGAGGCCAGGTCATTGAGTACATTTAAGACTGAGATAGATAGGTTCTTGATTATCAAGGGGATCAAGGGTTACGGGGAGAAAATGGGAGAATGGGATTGAGGAACTTATCAGCCATGGTTGAATGGTGGAGCAGACTCGATGGGCTGAATGGCCTAATTTCTGCTCCTATGTCTTCTGGTCTTCTGGTTCCTAACCAGGCTTTTGAATTACCAAGAACATAGAACAGTACAGCACAGTACAGGTCCTTCGGCCCACAATGTTGTGCTGACCTATTATCCTACTAAGATCAATCTACCCTGCATACCCTACATTTTACTATCATTCATGTGCCTGTCCAAGAGTCGCTTAACTGTCTCTAAAGTATCTGACTCCACTACCCCTGCCGGCAGTGCATTCCACACGCCCACCACTCTCTGTGTGAAGAACCTACCTCTGACATCTCCCCTATACCTTCCTCCAATCACCTTAAAATTATGACCCCTCGTAATAGTCATTTCTGCCCTGGGAAAAAGTCTCTGACTATCCACTTTATTTATGCTTCTCATCATCTTGTAAACCTCTATCAAGTCACCTCTCATCCTTCTTCGCTCCATTGAAAAAAGACCTAGCTACCTCAACCTTTCCTCATAAGACCTGCCCTCCAGTCCAGGCAGTATCCTGGTAAATCTCCTCTGCACTCTCTCTAAAGCTTCCACATCTTTCCTGTAATAAGATGACCAGAACTGAACACAATATTCCAAGTATGGTCTAACCAGGGTTTTATAGAGCTGCAGCATAACCTCACAGCTCTTAAATTCGATTCCCCTGCCAATGAAAGCCAACACACCATACGCCTTCTTTACAACCCTATCAACTTGGGTAGCAACTTTGAGGGATCTATGGACGTGGACCCCAAGATCCCTCTGTTCCTCCACACTGCCGAGAATCCTGCCATTAACCCTGTATTCTGCATTCAAATTCGACCTTCCAAAATGAATCACTTCACACTTTTCTCGGTTGAATTCCATCTGCCACTTCTTTGCCCAGCTCTGCATCCTGTCAATGTCCTGTTGCAACCTACAACAGCCCTCCACACTATCCACAGCTCCACCAACCTTCATGTCATCGGCAAACTTACTAACCCACCATTCCACTTCCTCATCCAAGTCATTTATAAAGATCACAAAGAGCAGAGATCCCAGAACAGATCCCTGTGGAACACCACTGGTCACCGAGCTCCACACTGAATACTTTCCATCTACTACCACCCTATGTCTTCTATTGGACAACCAGTTTTGTATCCAAACAACCAAATTTCCCTGAATCCCATGCCTTCTTACTTTCTGAATGAGTCTACCATGGGGAACCTTATCAAATGCCTTGCTAAAATCCATATACACCACATCCACTACTCGACCTTCATCGATGTGTTTTGTCACATCCTCAAAGCATTCAATAAGGCTGTGCTTTTTCAAATAATCATAAATACTATCTCTCAGAATCCTCTCCAATAATTTGCCCACCACAGAAGTAAAACTGACTGGTCTGTAATTTCCAGGATTATCCCTATTCCCTTTCTTGAAAACAGGAATGACATTTGCCACCCTCCAATCTTCTGGCACTACTCCAGTGGACAGTGAGGACACAAAGATCATTGCCAAAGGGGCAGCAATCTTTTCCCCCGCTTCCCGTATAAACTTTGGGTATATCCCGTCTGGCCCAGGGAACTTATCTATCCTCATGTTTTTCAAAATTTCTAGCACGTCCTCCTTCCTAACATCAACCTGTTCGAGCATATCTGCCTGTTTCATGCTGTCCTCACAAACGTCAAGGTCCCTCTCACTGGTGAATACTGAAGTGAAGTATTCATTAAGGACCTCCCCTACCTCCTCTGACTCCTCACACAAGTTTCCTCCACTATCCCTGATTGGCCCTACCCTAAACTCTGGCCATCGTCTTGTTCCTCACATAAGTATAGAAAGCCTTGGGGTTTTCCTTGATCCTACCCGCCAAGGTTTTCTCATACCCCCTTCTAGCTCTCCTAAGTCCATTCTTCAGTTCCTTGCTGGCTATCTTGTAGATATCTAGAACCCTGTCCGATCCTCGCTTCCTCAACCTTAAGTAAGCTTCCTTCTTCCTCTTGACTAGGTGTTCAACATGTCTTATCATCCAAGGTTCCTTCACCTTACCATCCTTTCCTTGCCTCAGTGGGACAAACCTATCCAGTACTTGTCGCAACTGCTCCCTAAACAACTTCCGCATTTCTATCGTGCATTTCCCTGAGAACATCTGATCCCAATTTATGCTCCGTAGTTCTTGCCTAATAGCATTGTAATTCCCCCTCCCCCAATTAAA